ATATATATATATATATATATATATATATATATATATATATATATATATATTATGCTTTATGATAAATGTTTGCAAAAGGTTTTAATTCCCGAGATCCATCCGAGCAAAGAGTGTAACACTACACCTTGCAGCCAGGGGAGAGGTCCTTCCCTATCGGGTAGTGTTTGATCATTATGGGCTGAGAGGTTAAGTCTAAGAGACCATAAAGGACTGATTACCTGAAGGGCTTTATCTTACTTAAGTCCGTTATCCTTAGGTCTTCATAGGATGGTTGGATTATTCAAGGATCATTTAAGTGTAAATGTTGGGCCCATTTTGAGGCCATAGTGATGTGCTCAGGGGTTCACTGCATCTAGCAGTGAATTTGACCAGGCCTTTTCACAGAAGCTGGGCCGAACCCATGTGGGCTTATGTGAGGTCATTATGGGGTCCAACGCCATACAAATCAAACCTAAATTGGCCAAGCAACACTCTTGGGTCATGAGCCATATAGCTGATTGGCCTAAAGCCCATAATTAATATGATTAATTAAGATGTCACAAGACAGCTTAAGTTGTCATGTGACATGGGGCGAATCTGGGTTTGGAAATGGGTATGGAGCACCCATCCTCTTAAGAGCATAAGACTTATCTCTTAATAGAGTCCAGACCCAAATAAAGATTTGGATAATCTCCTAATTTGATTAGGAGAAGTGCTCCATAAAGAGATAAAAGAAGAAGAGGGTGAACTGGTCTAGAACACCTGTCAATTCTGCTCTCTCTCTCTTCTTCTTTTTGTCTCCCAAGAAACCCTAGTTCAACTACATTTTTTGAAACTAATAAAGATCAATTCTTTCCCTAATTTTTGCAAGAAAAATTCAAATAAATTTCATGCTCACCTCCCCAGTTCGATCCAAGTAGTTGGATTGCAGTTTTGCTGAAAATTGCGTTGCTGAACCGGCTTCAAGATCAAAGTTGCGCCATCTTCAATGGAAGCTGGTTTTAAGACTGGTTTGGGCATGAACTTCCACCTTGGGATCTACACTTGTGGTATCCATATTAGGTATACATCTCCCTCTTTGTTTGGTTTCAAATCCGGTCTGGTTCAGCGCAAGACCGATCCTAGAAAAAATGTTGTTCTTCGAAACTTAGGGAATACAATTCCTAAGAGAATTGGAAATTTTTGAAATTTCGCCCAGCCATCTTGCATGGTTCGGCCATCCATATGATGGATTCTAAACCTTCCTTCACTCACAAGGGTTTTAACTCAAAAGCACTCTTTATTAGCTCAAAGATAAGGATGTAAGACTCACCCTTGAACACTTTACTCTCTTGGAGGGACTCCTTTGATGCCCTTGAAAATTGGGGGAGGGGTCCTATTTATAGAAACTCCCACCTCCTTTAGGTGCAATCCTAACCATCCATTTTCTACCTCCTTACCCTAGCCATTAGATTGCACTTTTCACCTCCTCATATCAACCACATGTTCCACTTCCTCAAATGGAACCTTTTAGGCATCTTCCTAGAATACTCTCTATCCAAATATTTACAAGGATAATCTTAGGGCATTCTAGACCTTAGACTTCTCTACATCATTCTAGAAAACTCCACACAATACATGAATACTCAAGATAACTCTAGAAGACTCTACACACAAAAGACTCCATACTCTTAAAGATGACTCTAAAAGGATTCTATAATCCCCTAGGCTCGACTAGAAATCTCTATAAAGCCCATGAAACCTCCAGCCTCCAGCTTCTTTGCAGCTCTATTCAGGTGGGCTGTGCACCATGCACCCCTTGTTTAGCTAAGCAGTCAGCTATTCCATTGGCTGATCTCCTTTGCCACTAAATCCTTACAGTCATATTGGAGTTTAGCCATTTGAGTCTTTTAACAGCTTCCCTGAATTCTTACATCATATCCCATTGTCAAGTTTTGGATTTATTTATTTAATGATAGTAAAAGCCAAAATGTATTCCAAGGAAAAAAAATAGTATAAAAGGTTTATACAAGTATTGCATCCCAAGCAAAAGGCATAAACAAAATGCAAAGAATATAGCGAATGACAGGAAAAAGGGAAAGAACCTAGTCAAAAACAACCAAAAGTAGGGATGTCAATGGGTCAGGTTCGGTACTAATTTTGCTTGACCAAACCCAACCTGAAGTTAATCCATCCCAACTAAATGAAATGGGATACCGAACCTAACCCCATAACATAGTCCACCTATAGTCAACTATGTTTATATTTACAATTTTTCAATGCTACAATGCCAATGGGTTGGGTTTGGCATGGGTCAGCCTCAAGAGCCTCAACATGAACCCGAACTGAGATCCAATCAAGGCTGACCCAACCCTAACACAGTAAGGATGGGTCAAGGTGGGTTTACCACTTAATCCAGCTCATTGACAGCCCAGCCCTGACCACAAGTATACAGACACCACCCAGAACACAATCCTCCCTCCACCCCCCCCTTGTTTGAAGAATAAAAGGAAAATTTATTAAAGAAAAAAGGAAAATTACAACAGAAGGTGATAAGAAATCACCTAGAGCAAGAAGCACCCCCAGGAAACCC